TATCGGATCGGTCCATCTCTAATTTAAACTACTACTTATACAAAATGCAGTAAGATATTAAAAAAACAGTTTTATTAATTAAAAAACACTATGTCGGATTCATATCGGTATCGGCAGATATCCAAATTTATGATATCGGTATCGGACATAAAAAAGTAGTATCGTGCCATCTCTAATTTAAACATTACCACATTATTGAATTATTTTGTTTTCTTTCTACAGTGATCAATGTTTTGATCAATCTGTACAAGAGCACTTCTAATTCAGTATTCTAAAAACTACTTTAAGCTTTAATCACTTTTTCCCTTTCACACTAAGCGACTTGGACAAGATGATAAACAGACTCACATGCTCAAGATGCTGTCTAATCTTCATGAGCTCTCTTGTATTTGTAAGTGTTAGTAAGGTTAATACATTTTCTGTTTGTGTGTGTGATTTCGTATGTTTCTTTTTGCAGTGTTTCGGACTCCTTCACAATTTTCCTACTTAAGCAGTCAGTTTTCTCTTTCCCAGGTTTGCTAACCCAAATTGTTTTTTATTCATCCAATATGCACAGATTTGCTTTTTGCACAGGTTTGTGCCTACCTTTAAATCTTTTTAGACCTTTTGATTCAATCATCTTCCGGAAGAGAGAGCCCTGCACAGCCCCAAAAGCCAGTTGCAGAAACTGAATTAGAATTTAAAAACGTCTCATATATAGGTGTTATTTTGGTACTTTACACGTCACACAGTTTTGATACAAAGACTCCTTATATGGTACAAGTTCCTCTTTTCTGTCTGGCTTCCTGTATTTATTAATATATTTGTATAGCTCTACACTAACTTCCTGTTTTTCAGTCTGGCTGAGCACTTAGTTTGTGAGTCAAAAGTGGCCTTGCTTTACAAACCTTCATTATTAAAGTACATAAAACAATATAATAAGAAAATAAACACTAAGGATATATTAATTACATGACATCCGTAATATTTATTTTAATACAATCCACATCTTAACACTTTTTTTCATATAAGATAGCTTAAACAATATAACAACAACATGGCAATGACATTATATCTTTCTATTATATACATTACATGATTTTATATTGTGTGATAACTACATAAAAAGTTCTGTCTGTCTAACATTTTGACAAATTGCCTGACAGTGTGCAGAGATGAGGCTAAATTTTATATTTTACTAAGTATCTTTATCGTAACATATCAAGATGTTATTCAGTTATACTATGAACATTAACATTCAAATATTGAAAAAAATATAATAAAACAAAAGGTACTACTCTGTTGTAAGTGTTATTGTCAGTAATTCACCAATATTAGCATGCTAACATGCTATAATACAGCATTAAACATCACTAGCATTACAACTTATTTCCTTTTTTTTTATTACCTCTATGAGGTAGCTTTCTTCTAACTTCTTTAAGTAGTTTCCAGGCTTCTTGAAGGACATTCCAAGCTCTTCTTTGGGTGTTGGCTGCCTTTTGTTCTGTTCTCTGTCCAGATGATTCCACACTGCTTCAATAAGTTTGAGCTCCAGGCTCTGGAGAAACCGGTCCATGACTGATAGCATTCCACTGTGTGTTTTCCCATACAGCTACATGTTTACTGAATTGGCATTGTGTTTGGGGCCATTGTCATGCCAAAGCAAAAGCCATCACCAATAAGATTGTATTGTTTGTATATGTTCGCAGTTCCATCCAATTTCGCCAAAATGCCCAACATCACTGGCTTGAAATGCAGCAGTCACTGTTGTACGCCTCATAAGTTCATGACCGTTTGACTCAAAATTCTGAAATCTGATTTCACTCCTTGATAAGAGGCGTAACAATTGTAATTTGGCAACCTCAGCCTTTGTTCCATGTTAACCTTCCTTGACAGCTAACCTTCTGAGACCATTTCTAATGAGGCTTCTCATTTAAGGTATTTGGTAGATTTCTTTAATTTCTTAATTTCAGATACTATTCATCTATTGCAAGTAGTTTTTAAGCAACACCACTTTTTCTTTTGTCCTCCACAGTTCCACATCATGCAGAGATCCACTAGATTTTCAGGTGATGGCTCTTTGGAGAATATCCTGTTGGTGCAGAAATAATATTTTTATGCCTATCAAACTGTTTTATTTTTGGCATCTTTCATAGATTCAATTAAAGAAATGGGGAGGGTATCTCATCCCTCCATTTCCTCCTCTTTCTTTTTGTGTGTTTGTGTGTGAATGTTATGTACCACAGCCACAGCATTTAAATGTCCTATTTCCTCAGGCTGGCAGTTCATGTCTGTCCAATCAAGGTTAGAATTAGGGTTAGGGTGGGGACTAGGGGTCTAAGTGAGCATTTGCAGATTGAGTGTCATCACCCCATGAGGTTTTGGATTGGAGTTATAAAACTTGTTGCAACCAATCCACTGTCTTCAGTCCAGAGAAAGATTACACGTTTACAATGTTTATACAACTGTATTACTTCTCCAAGTGCTGAAACCTAAGGCTTTCATTACAAAGGTGTATTTACACGTCAAATATTTACTGATTTTCTTTCTCACCTACGAACAATTACCTACCTGGAGGGGAAGAGGGGCCTTTACTATAACCAAAGCTGTGACAGGCATGCCATTGCAACACCCATCAGAGACGTTTTATTGTTAATATGTCACCCGAGATGTGGAGACATGTTATTATAACCCACTTAGGAGCTATCAGTAACATTCACGTGGTAATTCTTTCACATTGAGAAGAAGATACCTGTTTGTCTGCTTTTTTCTGCTTTCTATTCATGCTGGTATGCAAGGAAGCTACCTGATGTCATATATCGCAAACAAATGAAACAGCAGAGGCAAACTCTAACTGTGAGTGGGCATAACACAAATAGAGAAGAGTGGACACGCACAGTAAGAAAAACCCTAATTTATTACAATTCTTTATTCTACCATGTAGTCTTCTATTTCAACTTGTAAAGTAACAAAACAAAAAACATCACAGCACAAAAAATACACAATGGTGTCACACTCTCTTCTTTAATGCATTTATTGACACTGAGTCATTGCCATAGTCATAAACATTGGTGGAGTGTTTAAAAGGTGTTGCAGTCGTCCTGATGTACAAATCACATCTGTTGTCAAGCCTTTAAAAAGTTTAACGTTTCCTAAAATGTAATTTTTTAAAAAAAAAGCATATATATGCACCTTACAGCTGAGTACATATGTTCCATATACTGAGTGATATATTTTAGCTGAAACACAAGGCACTTACTGGGGCACCTTTGAAATACTGATGAGGATGTGCAAACAGGAATACAAGATCAACACAGATACTGGCCATGTGTGGCCATCGTCAAACGCTTCCCCTTCACTGCCTCTGGACAGACTGCTTTTTTTTCTGTTCCTACTCATGCCATGTCTCAACATTTGTTCAAAGCAAATGTGTAATCATTATTGCCATATACACACCTTTGTCTACCCACAAGAATTATTCCTTCAGGCAGGGCTGATCCTGTTTAGACCATTGTCTTGAAACGATTAGTACAACAAACACTAAACTAATATAATCTGCGAGTGAAGGAGCTCCGACCTTCACTTGTGTCAATATGTTTGTTTTTCGTTTTGTTTTTTAGTTTGTTCTTCTTGTGATTAGAAAAATCACATGGTCAACATAGCTTTGTGTTGAATAAAATCTGTCACACGTCATTGTGTTCTAAGTCTGAGTCGAGGTTTTACTGTTAGCTAAAATAAACAGCAGAGATATGAGAGCAACACTGAGCACTTTTCTATGTGCAAATTAGTGAGATAACTGCTGACATTGTCCTGTGTAGCGTAAGACCTCTTGTGATTTAGCATTTTTAAATTAATATTTTTTGGGGGTTGGAGGCAAGGCAATTATTCTGTTTGCTTTTGGCTTGGAAATTAAGCAGGTGAGGGGCTATACCAGGACTACATATTGCACGTAGCAACTGGTGTACCAAACTGAAACCATAGAAACCTTTACATGATCAGACCGAGTCAAATATTTTGATTTCAAACTGACTTAAGTACAATCTATAAGAAGACTGCTGTGCAAAATCTTTTCCATAAACACATAATTACCTCTTTATATGCATAAATATTGTGTAAATGGCTTTGCTCAAATAAAATCAACTGTATCAAGGGTAGCTCTATATTGTATGTTTTAATATTACATAATTGTGTGTGTTTTGGTGTGTGGACCGTACTTCCTATTGCTCCCCACATCCTTGTTTCCTCACATCTTTATTGTCTAGGAAACAATCTGAGTCGATGGAAGCACTCTGTGGGGGTTGTCGAGCGTAAAAACTACACAAGGCCGGGGTGCCAGCTGTTTTTCCTTAGCAGCTTTGGTAAATTTAATCCACAAGCTTGCCTGTGGAAAAATCCTTTAGGAAATCAAGCTGTAGATGAAATTAAAAAGATGGGTTTATGAAGGCTC